TCCCTGGAGGGATTTAGAAGCCAGGCAGATGAGGCCCTGAGGGATAGGGTTTAGTGGTGGGATGGCAGGGGTAGGGGAACAGTTGGGCTGGATGATCTTAAAGGGCTTTCCCAACCTAAATGATTCTATGATCAACTCGCCCATTTGAAATGGCCAAAGGTGTAGGAATATTAAACTGTCAGGGACAGTCTTTGTGAAAGGACCAGCTCCCCAAGATCCTAAATGAGCCACGAGAGAGGCATCTAGCCTGGGAACTTCACAGAAACACTGAATAACTTGTTTCCTACCCTCATGCAACTCCTGCCATGCGGCATCCTACTCAAAGGCGTGACTCTGTAGGACAGTTATAACTTGGTGTGGCTTTGCTGTGGTGGAGCAAAGTGATGGATCATCATATGTGACCAAAGACATCTGGTGTGAGCTTCGTAAGCCTGGGGTTTGCAAGCTGTTGTGTGCACTCTGCAAATGATAGTTATTCTAGGATGGAAGTGGTAAACTGAGTTGCAAAGGCTGTTACGTGTCGTCTTGCTGTATACCCCTGTCCTTGGTCCGTGTGCATTGTGAGGACCCATCTTGTCTTGCTGCTGTGTCTTCATTCTCCTGTTTTGTTACCTAAACTCTTCTCCACTTTGCAGTCACATAAAGTGTGCTTTTCTGCAGTACGTGGCCAAAGCTGCTTTGGAGACCTCTGTTCCCATGCTGTGCGCTGTGTTTGGAGAGGGTCAGTAGTATTGTCCAGGAATTTGAGTGTGTCCATGAGATTTCCCCATGGGGACTCTGGTGTCAACCTCCCTTCCAGTTTGGGGTGGGAGAAGGAAGACCCTCATCTTGGCATGCAGCTGCTAGCGCAGTGTCTCCAGCTACAGTGGGATTTAATTGACCTCCTCCTTAGCATTTGTGCTGAGACTGCTTTGGGCTGTTGATAGGCTGGGGTCGCTTAAGGGGTTCGTGGCATGTCTCCTGGCTGAAGCCAGATATAAACACCTGGAAATTCTTAGCAGGGAGCACCTCTCACTTTATGTTCTTAGTTATGCCCGATCTGTCAACTCAGCTGCACACGTTATTTCCATCTAGGGATAAATCTCCCCTAGTTTTGTTTTACTCTGTCATGGTTTAACCCCAGCCAGCAACTCGGACCTGCCCCCAGCCACTCACTTCCCCCCCCCCCCCCCGGTGGGATGGGGGGGAGAATGGGAAGAGTAAAAGTGAGAACTCATGGGTGGAGATAACAACAGCTTAAGAGATAAAGCAAAAGCCACTCGTGCAAGCAAAGCAAAACAAAACAAGGGATTAGTTCCCTCCTTCCCCTGGCCAGGTGGGTGCTCAGCCATCCCCAGGAAAGCAGGGCTCCATCGTGCATAACAGTGACTTGGGAAGACAAACACCATCACTCCAAATGTGCCCCCCTTCCTTCTTCCCCCAGCTTTATATACCGAGCATGATGTCATATCGTCTGGAATAGCCCTTGGGCCAGTTGGGGTCAGCTGTCCTGGCTGTGCCCCATCCCAGCTTCTTGTGCCCCTGGCGGAGCTGGGGAAGCTGAAAAGTTCTTGACTGGTGTGAGCACAACTTAACTCACTGATGGTTTAGCTGGTGCTATCAACATTATTCTCATACTAAATCCAAAACACAGCACTATGCTATCTCCTAGGAAGAAAATGAACTCTCTCCCATCTGAAACTAGGACAGTATCCACCCCTCATTCTGTACCATGTATGTCATGCTGAGGTCCTACACTATCCAATACATCCTCATTAACCACCGCCCCCCTTCCCATCCTTTGATATAATAGAGAGATACCATTCCCTTGGTCTATGGATCACCCTTGTAAAATGTCCAGAAATGCCCACAAAATGTCAACTGAGTTCATTTAGCTGATGACTTTGGGCTCCCTCTGTTATGGTGGTCACTCAGGACAGGAGAGGTGGTGTGTTGTGTGGAGTTACTGGGCACCAAAGCCAGCTCAGGTAAGGTCACTGGTGCAAGTGCACTGCTTCTTGTAAGGCATGTCCTCCAGTGCTTCAGGTGGTTCCTTAGTGCTATAGTAATTCCTATAACATGCAGCTCAAATCCTGGGTTACAACAATTTAAAAGTAGTTCTGTTACAATCCCCACCCCTGGTCCCTTTGGACCAGACCATAGGGTTTTACATTGCAATGAACTCTTCCTCTTGCCCTGGCTTGGACTTATCCACAGACTTCAGTCCCTTAAGGCTGTACCTGCTCCAAGTGGAGCCTTATCTATGAACCACTGTCTCTCCAGGGGTGTACCTGCTGTGGCATGGACTTATCCGCAGCCACTTTGAGGTGCATCTGTTACAGTGTGGCCTTCTCCATGGGCCACAATGCCTTCAGAGATATACCCACTTTGATG